TTGAGATTCTTGCTCTCTTCCCAGGCTGGAGTGCAATGGCGCGATCTCGGCTCACTGCAACCTCCGCCTCCCACATTCAAGCAGTTCTACTGCCTCAGCCTCCCAAGTCGCTGGGATTACAGGTGCCTGCTACCATGCCCTGCTATTATTTTGTATTTTTATTAGAGATGCGGTTTCGCCAAGTTGGCCAGGCTGGTCTTGAACTCCTGACCTCAGGTGATCCACCTGCCTTGGTCTCCCAAACTGCTGGGATTACAGGCGTGAGCCACCGTGCCCAGCCCCCCAGGCTAGTCTTGAACTCCTGGGCTCAAGCAATCCTCCTGCCTCAGCCTCCCAAAGTGCTGGGATTACAGGCGTGAGCCACTGTGCCCATCGAGAAAACAGCAGTGTTTATGGAATGAGTGGAAGACCCAGGAGTCCCATTTTTCGGGGTAAACACCTGTGCATTCTGCCGAGCCTTCTTATTACAAGTCGAAAGAGGGCCATGGCCAGCAAGTCCCTTGCCTTCTTTTCTCCACCATCTCCCTTGGAGGCCTGGAAATCCATTCACAGGCCTCTGTCTTCCTCTAGCCAGCTCCTGTGACAAGGAGCCCAGACTAGCCTCTCCAGATCCACCCCATCCCATTCCACACGTGGAGTGTACCCCTGCTCCCTTAGGCCAGCGACTCTGGGGCACTGGCTACTTCCCTTATTCCTTCCTTGAGCATCCACTGCCCTGGCTGACCGATGGCACCATCCCTTTCCCAGAAAAAGACGGGTGGAGGAGGAAGCGGGGGAAGAGCAGAAGCCACAGGAGCCTTGTCTCTGGCTACAAGAAGCCCCCACTGTGTGTCTGAGAGTTACCTCGGGCTTGTCCCCCATCTCATTCCCATCACCACACCCCATTGAGGAAACAGGCACAGAGAGGTGCGGTGCCTGCCTGCTTGGGTCCAAAGCCCTTGCTTTTCCTACTGCTGTATAAACCCTGGGGCTGGAAGGATCTAGATCCCACCCACCTTCCTTCCCACCCCAAGACCTGGGCACATCCTGTTCTCTCCATCTGGAAACTCTTTCCTCAGATCCCAAAAAGTCTCCATTCCCCACTCAATCCAGGTCTCTGGTCAGATGTCACCTCCTCCTAGGGCTCTCATGGACCACTCCTCACCCAGCCACTCTCTGGGCCTTGCTTGTCCTGACTGCATTGTTCTTTTTTTTGGAGACAGGGTCTTGCTCTGTTGCCCAGGCTGGAGTGCAGTGGCACGGTCCTAGCTCACTACCACCTCACACGCTGGGGCTCAGTCCTCCCACGTCAGCCTCCCAAGTAGCTAGGACTACAGGCACGCAGCACCTTGCCTAGCTAATTTTTATTTTTGTAGAGATGGAGGTCTCCTGTGTTGCCCAGGCTGGTTCCAAATTCCTGGCCTCAAAGGCCTCAAAAAATCCTCCTGCCTCAGCCTCCCAAAACTCTGGGATTACAGGTGTGAGCCACCACCCGGCCTGTGTTCTTCTGCGGCGCTGCCTGATGTGCATCAGGTGCTTATTGGTGTATGTGCTTTGTGTCAGCCTCCACCAGAATGTCAGCAAATCGAGGGGAAGGACTTTGCCTATCTTCCTACTGTATTCCCAGCACCTAGAACAAGACCCAACACTCGGTATGAGATCAAGTAATGTATGAGGAATGAATGAATGAGCAGCAACCCTGAATGTAGAATTGAACAATATTCATAATCACAACTCTCAGAATCAATGAAGGAGAGGGAAGGAAAGGCATTTCTCACCTGGAGAAGGAGTGAGTCTTCCAGACGGCAGCAGGAGACTGGCCCCCTGGGATGTGGTAGGCAGGAGGTGTGTGACTGGGCAATGTCTTTGGGCTGAGCCCACCTTCATGCTCATTTTCTCTAACACAAAATCCTCCTCCATGGGCCACTAGGAGAACTCTTTTTTTTTTTTTTTTT